AAAAAAAAAAAAAAAAAAAGTAAAGATTATCCAGTTAATAGTGGCAGTAGTGGTAGTGATGATGATGGTGTATTTATGCAAGAAACATCTTCCAAGCCCACACTTTAGCTTACCTTGCTGCTGCAATTTGTAATCAGTGGAATATGCCTTCCCAATGATATTCCACACTGGCCTCAAGCATCCAAATAGTCCTTCAAGAAACCCACCACTGCCGCTGCCTGACCTGCTGAACTGAATCTTGATGTCTTCAGTTCCACTGGTGTTCTCTCCGTCCACAGTGCTGCTGTTCCCCTGAGATACAGCCGTCTCCGATTCATCTTGTTCCCTCAGCTGAAGAACACTATTCTCAAACTGGTCCCTGGAATCTTCGCTTACACTGGTCAACACTGTGGTGGTGACGGGGCTGTTCGCGCTCTCGATGAGTTCTGTTCGCACAACCCCCTTCTCCTGCTGGTCCTCAGGGAGCTTGGGTGAGGGGTGGTTCCCCATAGCTGCGAGCTCATCTTGGTGTCCGTGGAAGGTTTTGTTGTCACTCAGGGCTAAGTGTGGAGAGGAGGAGCAGCTCAGGTGCTCCTGAGGGCTGGCCATTGTGCCATGAGTGTGACCAAGGTGGAGAGATGACACTCAGAAGACTCTTAGGACAGAGGTCCAGTGCAAGAGGGGCCACGAAAACCTGGGAAAACAAGAGGAGGACATGAGCTACCCTTTCTTGAGCATCCACCCTGCAGCACTGCCACTTACATAATTAAAACATTGAAACGATATGAACGGTTACACTGAAGTTTATTCCACACGATGAAATACTGTGCAGCAATGAAAATCATTTACTAATATGAGAAAATGTATATTATTATAAAAAGATTAGAACAATACATATAACATCAGCTTTAAATTTTTTTTGAAAGGATACATAGACACACACAAGAAAAAAGCTTGGAAAGATAAAAACCAAAGAATTAACGGTAGTTTTAGGTGGTTAGATTTGGAACAGAGTTAGGTTGCTGTGACTTTCAAGGTATTCTAAGAATTCTGTGCTAGTGGGGACACACACAGAGCAAACTAAAAAGCTTTTGCACAGCAAAGGAAGCAATCTGCAAGGTGAAGAGATAATCTACAGACTGGGAGAAAATATTTGCAAACCATACATCTGATAAGGGGTTAGAATTATGTAAGGAACTCAAGTCAGAAGCAGAAACAAAGAATCCAATTAAAAATGGGCAACAGAGAGCTGGGGATTTAGCTCAATGGTTCCTCCACCTGCCTCGAAAGCACAAGGTCCCGAGTTTGATCCCTGGTACCAAGAAAACCCCAAAACAAAAGAAAACAAAATCCAAACAAAAATGGGCAATGGACCTAAATAGACATTTCTCAAAAGAAACAAGAAAAGAGAATAAATGTTGGCAAGGTATGGCAAGAAGGGATCCTTTGCGTTCCGTGGGTGGGAATGTAAATTAGTATAGACATTCTGAAAACAGTCTAATGGCTCCTCCAAAAATTAAAAATAGAACTAATATAAGATCCAGCAATACCACTACTGGATATATATCAAAGGAAAAGAAATCAGTATGTCAAAGAGGCGTCTGTACTCTCCTTTTTATTGCGGCTCTATTCACAAAAAACAGCAACAACCTAGGTGGCCATCAATGGATGAATGGATAAAGAAAATAAATGTTGTATATGTGCACAACAGAATAGCATTTAGTCATAAAAGGATGAAATCCTGTCATTTGCAACAACGTGGGAATGGAAAACATTATGTTAACTGAAATAAGCCAGGCATGGAAACTTAAGTACCGTATGATCTCACTCATATGTAGAGTCTCAACTAATTGGTCTTGTAGAAGAGGACAGTAACATATTGGTCACCAGAGGATGAGAAGGTACAGGGCAGGGAGAGATGGAGAAAACTTGATCAAGTGGTTACTAAGTTACAGTTCACTAGGAGAAATAAGGTAAGTTCTGATTCTAGGACGACTATGGGTAATGATAATGTCCTCTACATTTCAAAGAATCTAGAAGAAAGGATTTGGGATATTTTCACCAAAAAGAAATTATAAATGTTTGAAGAAATAGATATCCTTAACCTGATTTAAATATTACATAATGTATATACATTTATTAAAATATCACGTGGCACTGTGTACACACATATAATTTTATATACAAATAAAATGCATTTAAAATTTTATGTGAGGCCTTGGGTTTGGTCCCTATCAACACACACACACACACACACACACACACACACACACACACTATATATATATATATATTCTCTTTTAAAAATTTTTAAAAGTTACTCAAAGTATGTTCTTATTAACAATTTGCTTTCTTTGGATATCTCTATACAATAGTCCTTTGTTTCTTTACTCTGAATTAACCATTTGGAATATGCTAGAAGCCAGGGTATAAAATGACTTTACTTTGCAGAAATCAAAAGACAGGCCCATGAAAATTGACAGTATAGTGCAAATTAGGAATCAAGTACTCTGAGAGCATAGAAGACAGGGATAGTTTCAGGAACAGGCACTCAAAGATAGTAACTTTGATCCATTTGAAGTGCAGGAATTCATCAGATGAGTAAGAAAGGCATGAGCAGCAGAGAGGGAGAAGGTATTACTGGTATGGGAGAAGGATGAATTGAGGGCAAGGTTGAAAGACTATCAAATGGATGAAAAAAATCAAAGTGTCTGGGATGGATGTAGGTTACATGTATGTGCACAGAGAAAGATTCGAATAGACAGATGGGCTGATTGTAAGGAGCTTTAGATTACATCCTGAAGATGATGAGGAGCTGCAGTATTCTAAATTGGGGATTACAGACAGAAATGGACGTTTTTGTTTTATTATTATTTTCTTGCCTCATTACTGAGACCCCAAATTTAAGCCCTTTTTTCCATTTCCATACATATCTTATTAATAGTTTATGTTCATGAACCAATGAAAATACCGTAGCCTCTGAACTTTCACTCACTCATTCATTCATTCATTCGTCCATTCAAATATTTGCTGAGCATCTATAAGTTGCTGTGGAAAATGTTAGGCACTAATAAATGCTACTGGCTTCTCCCTTTTAGGAGCTTACCACCGACAGGAAAAGACCAATAAAGAACAGTCACATAGTTAGACACGGTATAAAGATATGTACAAAGTGCTATGGAACCTCAGAAAAATAACATCAAATCTGTCTAGAGACATTATGGAAGAAGTTTTGTTTGAGTTGAGTCGTGAAGGGTGAATTAAGGGTCCCTGAAAAAGAAAGACTAGGCATCCCAGGGAAGGGAGCAGCAGGAGACAACTCTTGGAAAAGGTGGCAAATGTCAGCCTGGGTGACAAAGTAAACCTTTTGGATTTTATCCTTAAAACAACAGAGAACCATTCATCAATTTAAGTGAGGGAGTGATTTGGGCAGATTATTAATTAAAATCACATCTACAGAAGTAGAAGCTGGATTGAAGGAAAAGACTGAAGGCCCAGTTAGGTAGGTGGTAGAGTTCAAGAAAGAAATAATCATTGGGGCTGGGGATTTAGCTCAGTGGTTTCACCGCCTGCTGCGCAAGTGCAAGGACCCGAGTTTGATCCCAGTTATCAAAAAAGAAAGAAATAATCACAGGTTTAACCAAAACTGCAGCACTGGTGATGAAGAGGACAGGATAGATTCAAGAGGTAGAACTGGGGAGACCTAGTAATTGATTGGACATGGGGGGTGAATGAGGGAAATGGAGAGAGGAAGAATTTTCAAATAATTTATTTGGGGTAATGCATAGATGGACAATGTCGGTGATAGATGTGAAATACCAGAAGAGAAGATTCGATCAGGAGATTTTCAGCTCAGCTCTGGACATAGAGTTTGAGGCTCACTATGTGTTGTGCACTCAGCTAGGCTTTTATTTATGTTCTCTGATTTTAAAAAGAAACTCTGTAAAGAGGGATATGAAAAGAGGTAAAGATGTGGAGGTCATTTAGCTCAGGCACAAAAGTTTCAAGATAGTACAAGTTAAATTTAAAGTGCATTCGTTAAATATGTATATACTGAGGGCAGTGCTATGCACTAAACTAGATTCTGTGGATACAGAATATAATTGTTATCCTTACTGTTTTTAATAAGAAATAAGACAGAGTGCTTTACAACTTACAGAGCCCTGTTTACATAATCAGTTATATACTAGTAAATCAGCTCTCCAAAAGACAATCATCGCCTGATTTGTAGTGTTTGATGATTTCCCTGATAGAAATACTCACACCATAGCAGATTTCAAGCTAACAATGGCTTAACAACCTGCTTGCAAAGTTTGGAAATACTTCACAAGGGGCTCCTATAAATTAGTATATGAGCCAGCTACAGCACCATAATTCTTGCAATAGCATCTTTCTCATTTTATAAGAGAAGAAACTTATCTAAGATCACATATTAAATGGTAGAGCAGGAATTAAAATATAGTTCAAAATTCAGATCCTCAAATTTCCTTGCTCTTTTTTTTTCCCCCCAGTACTGGGGATCGAACTCAGAATGTGAGACAGGTGCGGAGCCATTGAGCTAAATCCCCTGGGCCTCCTTGTGCTTTTTGATAACGTGGTGGAACTTGTTATGATAAACCTTCAGTTTTGTAGCATTCTTTACAGGTTAAAAATGCAGTTACCTGTGATCACTGGTTCTCAACATTTGATCCCCTGTGGAAGGGAACCAGCATGAAGTCATAATCCTATTTTTTACAGAGGGAAATTATAGCCAAAAGAGAGCTAAGATTGAATACTAGATTAGTTTTCCCAATCATACTCTTTCCGGTACCATGTGATCTCTGGAAGACACAGTACCTGTCCTTTCAAGCTCACAAACTACTCAAGGAGTTAATAATTTCATTGAGGGAAATATCCCCTCAACACCACCCCTTGATGAACGGGCCATATATATTCGTTAACACAGCGCTGGGAGAGAGGGAAAATAGTAATGAGGGCTTCAGAGAGGTAGGGCCTGCGATGAACCTTTGAAGGTCAGATGTGTGACAGAGGGAAAGAAATCATAGGCCGAGGCAAGGAAGCAGGAATGACTGGGCAGGTATATGGGGGCAGATGACCCAGAAATAAAGAACTAGTGGACAGTGCTGAGGAGCAGTGTGCAGTAAGGGTGACCCCTGCCTTCACACGGGGGCTCAGCTGCTTCTCCTCAGCAAGCAACCCGGAGAGATCACTTAGGAGGACCAGCTTAGGTCTAGAGTGCTCACCTCTAAGCTGTGATATTACTATCCCCCCATTTTGCTTTCTTGCTGATCAGCTGCCACACCTTGGGCGTCTCATGCCTTTGTCCTCTCTGACCTTTCTCTGCATCATCTCTACTAAGAATGCTGACTTCCTACTGCCCAACTTGGCCACTTCCAGTCTGTTCAGTCACTGGGACTCAGCTACCCCAGACAGCTCAGGACATGAAAATCCACAAATGCAAATGTGAATTTCAGCCAAATGTCTACTCGTGAAATTTATTTTTTAATCTAACTGTTGGACTTCATAATAATTCTTAGTAAGATCCCATTTTTGTCGGTTTTTATCCTGAATTTCTGTCTAATAACATCATATTGTTTTGTTTTGGTTTTTTGAGACAGGGTCTTGCTATGTAGTTCAGGCCGGTACTGAACTCACTACGTAGGCCAGGTTGGCCTCGAACTTGCAGTGATCCTC